AACAACACACAAAATAATAATAATAATGATAAATACATTCCAAACTATACCAGCTATACTATACTATAATAAATAATAATAATAGCAAATATATATGCACATTAGATAATGATTACCTTTCTCTGGAGCTTTGCGTGCATTATAAGCATGAATGATGAATAGGAACACTTGGAACAATGTGAGGAGGATAATGAAGACAATGTAGAAACCAGCTATTTCAAAGCTGCCTCTATCAAGAAGGTGGGCTCCAAGTGCAATATTAATAACTACAATGAGAAAAACGAAACTCAAATTAAGGCGCAATTACAATATGACATTAGGCCAGTGTACCGTCAATTTTTAATCAAAAGTGTGGGCGATTTGACCTTTTGACGCATGCTTTCCGCTGGAATAGAACCAGATTCTATTCCAGCGTCAACGTAACGTCAGGACTAGCGTAATATTGTAATTCCGCCTTTATGATAAAACTATACTACCAAAATTATTTGCTAACACTAAAAGTATATTATAGTATTTCATACTTACAGGACAGGACCAGTAGTGCATAGCCAATGATGTGGGCATGAGAGAGGTTAAAGATCCAACGTCTATTAATAATAATAAATGAAATTATTAGTACTAAGCTAATTAAAAGTATACGAAGAATTGAACTCCCAGTCAAAATATGAAGTGCATGCATTTAATGTATTATGTACATGTATCATGTACATAATACATGTAAGAAGTGTCTTACTTTTCTCCTTTTGGATTACAGCGAAAAACAGCAATAATAGGCTATTGACAGTAAATAGGAATAATATAATTATTATTTTAGATGTAATTCTTACATTAGCAATGTGTAAGCACATTATGATGATTCCAATAACAAAATGAGCTGTGTTCTTACCCTAAAATATAACACATTGATTCACGGTAATCATTGCTATACAGACTCACATCAGATGAGAAGCTAATAATTCCAGGGGTAGGACTCCTAGCATGTGCAACGAATGGTAGTATGAATCCTAGTAGACCAACAATGAGTGATCCAGCCATTAGTATCCGATGAGCTATGAACCATTCTCCATTAGGCAGTACTGGTTTCATCCAGGCAGCAAAGAAGGCACCCGACATAGCTAATGCTAGCCATGCAACAGTCATGAAAGTACCTAATACATTAATAATAATAATAAATAAATAAATAATAAATAATGAAAACAATACAGTAATAATACATGTACATTGTACATGCACATGTACATGTATGTACTATCATACCATGTGTTTTCAGTAGTTGTTGTTTAGGCCAAGTATCAACAGTTTCAGTCCTTCCTTCTCTAATATCAGTTAGTAAGTTAGTCTGAGCTCTTGAGAACGATGGAGTGATGTCATGTCTAGATAGTCCTTCTGAAGCCAAACCTACTCATTCATAAAATGAAACAAGCCAATTAATCAAGTCATAATAATTTAAAAAACACAATTTTAGACATACATGTACATGTACTGTAGTATGTACACAAAAACAAACACACATACATACACATACATGCAGACTCTAGTCACCAACTATTAATAATCAAACAAATCTAAAAAAAATTAATTAAACTTTCTATGTAGCATAAGGACAACAATGCCCATAAAAAAACTACAGTAAAAATGAGGGGTGAATTTGGAGTCAA